CCTTTCTTTCTTCTTTGTTTTCTTCCAATCTATTTAATTTTTAATGTGTCTATGTGCTCACTTATTAACCTGGCTCAGCAGTATGATAGAGAAACCAGGCCTGAAAAGTCATAGACAGAAAAGAAGTTCTTAAAAGTTACATCAATGATATCTTAAATTATGTAACTCTAGTGCCAAATAACCCAGGCAATATTATTTTCTTCCATTTTTTTTTTGTTTTAGAACCAAACCTGAGTTAAGCTTATTTTCTTGATCAATACCATACAGTGAATTAAGTCACAAGCTAAATCACAGAAGGTTTGAGAATAAAGAGATCTTCAGATGATAGTAAGCAGAGTTCWGTAATTCACAAATGATTAAGGAATTAAGAAACAAAGGAAAAATGGCAAGATTTAACATGCAATCTTCGTGAAAAGGGTATTTTGCAGGAAAAGCCCAACCCTAATCTCACACCTAAATCAATAAAACTACTTACAAAAGTAACTATGGGAATGGATTCACAAGATAAAGCGATTAATTTCCTAGGGACTAATGTTGGTGCTTTTCATGAGAGCCACAGTAATTAACTAGATATGCACTTTTTGCATAAGCTAATCAACAAGCAGAAGGTGCTAGTTTAAGCCAAATAGCTCAGCTAGCAAGAAGTAACTCACTAGCAGTGAGTTGAATCATTTAGATCAGGTGACTGCCTCCAGAGATTCGGTACTAAAAAAAAGCTCACCCAGAATTAGAAACTGTGGTAAAGCAAAGGCTTGAAAACCAGCCATGGTCTTCTGCTAACTTACTCAAAACTCCTCTGATTTTCTTTTACATTGCAAACTGCAACAAAAGATCAAAAGCTCTGAGGAGTTTTGAGTACTGCCTGAGCTAAGGTGCACTTGTAGGAGGTGTATTTAAATGAGTGCCTCTTGCCATTTCAACTCAGTGTTGCTTTTGAGTTTCATCAAAAGCCCTGTCTTCATCTACATCTCCCCCAAAATTGAGTGTAATTTTTAAAAAAATACTTTAAAWCTTTAAAACATTGATTAAGGAGAGACATGGAAAGATCTGCACAGTTCAAGTAATAGTTTCCCTGAACCTGAAAGGTGATTCATGTGAAGACAGGATGCAGAGTGAAAATGAAGTCAATATTTCCAAGTAAATTTGGTATGCACTTATTGTGAAACATTTTTTTTCTTCTTAGCCTAATCAAGTTAATTTCAAGAGAGAACAAGCTGAGCAGAATAAAGAACTACTTAAAATATGGTATCATCATTCAGTAGCCTTTTTGCAAAGTTCAGTAAATTAAATAAGTTATGTAGTATATCACACAGTAACTTTGTAGCTGAAACCTGAAAAACTAAACAAGTAAGCTGAGTTTAAATACATAAAATAACTTCTGTGCATTTTTGATTTTGAAGGCAGAGGCTCTAAACAGAATTCTAGCTTCCTTCTAACTCCCAAGAAACCTGTAAATTATCTCCTTCATAGTTTCAGTTTAATAATTAAAACAAGCTGTTTGTAATGAAATAACACMAATAAGGACTTTTCTATTCTACATCATCTTCTGGACCACGATTCAATAAAAATCTCACTGTTCTACTTCTCAGGGCTGTAGAGAATATCTTGAATGGGAGGCAAGCTCAGAAGAAGAAATCCTTGCCCCTGTTTTTTAAACAGAAAACTCAGGACACAGATGTTTTAAATAGTTTTTCTTCAAAATGTGATCCTTAAATACATACAGACAAACCCCCAAATAAATGGAACCATTTGTCTATCTATTTTTCTGATTTCTAAGAGAAATTATTTTGATGGTTTGGACCACAATCTTAAAAAACTTGGGAGATGTTAAAAGTACTAAAATTAAAAACTGGTTTCTCTGTTCCTTAGTATCACATCACTGTCACATGTATTTCTTCAGCCTGTAGGTAATACAGCATAATACTTAACCACAATTTAAGATAGGAATCTAGGTTGGGCAGTATTTTATCCCTATTTTTTGTCATATCCACATTACTGGAAGGTGGTGGAGAATGCGTACAGTGCATGCCGTGCTGCTGGGGTGTGGAGCTGCRCATCATTTATTTCAATGATTACAGTGAATTGGCTACAGTCGGAGAGATACGCACTCACAAAGGGATTTCTTCTAGCACATTTTGTCCAGCTCTTACCTGTTTCTTCTGGGTTTGATCCAAAACCAATAAAGCCCACTAGAGGTTTTCAATTCAATTCAAAAAGCTTTGAATCAGGCCATTTACTCTATTTGCAACAAGGCTGTTCAGAGCACAATAGAGATCACGGGACCCTGTATGTA